TTGCACGTCTACTGGAATTTTTGTGTATTTGTATTTACTTGTATTTTGAAAAAAGCAGGTCGTGTATGTACTTGTATTTATTGGCAAATTTTCGTGTATGTACATTTACTTATTGCTTCCCAAATTCATCAAAATTTGGTAATTTTTCGTTTACTTTTCATGTATCCTGTACTTAAATGTTGAATCATTGAAAGGCTAATGTCTTCATCACCTTTTCTATTGCTGTTTTTATCATCTGCTATTGCTAAAAGGACTAAAAAGACCATCAAAGATCCGTGGTTAAGGAAACTAACTGCCATTTTGACTGCTACGTGGACACACCCTTTAATTATTAATAGTTAATATAAATACATGAAAATCATCTCCTTAAACTCCGTCTACTTATTTTTGGTTCATGTATATACTTGTATGTACTAGAAGACCTGTTTTTCGTCTAAATACTCGTGTATCGTGTATACACGTGCAATGTCTGAGTCTCACATAACCAGACCCACCTAGCTATGCGAGACTATTGTTCCAACTGGTCATTTGCTAGGAGACAATCAGCCATTGAATTTCTGGCTTAAAAGCAATTTGCCACCTGTGTACATTATAATAAAGAATTAATTATAATTGTAGTACACATTCTTGGCTAGTTTACTTCGCTAGCAGTTGGTCAACATAGTTATATGTTGCAAAACATGCCAGAATTTTGTAGCCTGTATTGTAAGCCATGCATGTAGCAGGATTCATGATTGTGGTGGTGAGATAATTGGCAGGTGAGTTGTAATCCATTTTCATAAATCATCAACTTTATTTTTTGTTGATAAAATTAATTATTTGTATGGCTAGTAACTATTTTAAATACATGTATGCATGAAAGTAGAGAGATACTATATAATAGTAGATACACATGGAATTTATTGAAATAGATGCAAATGCATAGTAGATGAACATTGGACACATCATTCAATGTATGACAATTATTGTATATAGTGTACTCTGCAGAGGAATAATTTAGAGTAATTAAAAAAAAATGATGTCTTTTTGCTCCAGAGTTAGATTTTAGTTATTTTATTTTAATTAATTATAGCTGGTAAACTTTGGTTTTTGATTACAAGAATTTGTTCTCGAAATGTATTCAAACTAACTGCTTATGTAAAATAGCCATTTTTGGTAAAAAAACACACATGGACTACTTTTCATGATTACTGGCCAAAATTTTAGTGCTTTTTCAGATTTTTTGCATTGCATAAAAGTACTAATATTAAGCAGCCAAGTATTTTAACTTATGATTGAGAATAGCTTTATTGCCTAAAATATAGTCTTTGATCACATTAAATTGGAAATTTTGTTGATTAGTATTCCACTTGGCTTGTCACAATTAGATACCTAGCTGTTTTGTTCATATTTTACTCATCAACTATTGGTCTTAACTTTTCGTTCTATTTTACAGCAATACATATCACCTTTAGTCCAAATATTAATTTACGTTCTCCATGCCAAAAAAAATTTCATTATTGATGATAT